GGGGGGGGGGTTCCACTAAAGGGTTCCTTAAAGGGTTCTATAAGGGCTACTATAAAGGTTTTTAGGGTGTAGAGACCTTAATAATCAGAATAGGGTTTTGGGGCCCATTATACTATACTTTTAATATGGGACCCCTAAAATAGTATATGTAATTATTAAGGCCGCTACATCAGGAACGGTTTCGGGGGCCTCGCGTGGAATGACTTGGTTTATTTAGGGTTTGAGGTTTGGGGTTTAGAGTAATTCATAAGTGCGATGAGTCATCCCTTACCCTAAACCCTAAAGGCCCTAAACCCTATGCACAAGGACTCTGACTTCGTATACCCCCAGCTACCTTCATCCCACTAGACCCTAAACCCTAAATCCTAAATCCTAAGCTAAACCCTGAACCCTAAATCCTAAAAAACCCTAAACCCTAAACCGACCTCAGGCGCCTCGGTGAGGGTTCAGGTCCTTCGGGTCTTCATGAAGGTCTGAGAGTTCGGGGGAGCCGCCTAGTGTTTAGGGTTTAGGGTTCAGGGTTTAGTTTGGTATTTAAGGCTTAGGGCATAGGATCTTCTTGAAGGAGTTTGGGGGTTCTGGTAGGGATTTTTTAGGGTTTTGGCCCTAAGCCCCAAACCCTAAACCCTATGAGGGTTGGTCTTTATGGCTCAGGGGTTTCAGGGTTACCTGGGCTCCAAACACCGCGAAGCGGGTACTGGGTTTAGGACTTAGGGATTAGGGGTTCAGGGTTTTAGAGTTTTCGGGTTAATGGTTACAATGTGGCTTCCGGTTGGATATCCATGTTCTACCAAGGCCCTTGTATTAGCAGTACCACCGCGCAGTAATTATTCAGGGGTATTTGTGCTTGGGGAAGACGTTTGCACAGCTGGGGCAGACAGAAGACCTGTTTTTCATCGTACAAAATCCACCCTTTCACGATCTCATTCGCTCAGCGCCATCTTTTTGAGGTTAGAACCATTCTCAGATCCAGTGTAGAGACGAGGGCATGGGGGCAATGGATGAAACACACAATTCAAATCCAGTGCAAGATCTCTTCCGCTCAGCGTTATTGCAGCACAACTGGTCCTGCTGCTGCTGCTCCTCCTCCTCCTCCTCCTCCTCCAACTACCACTCCTACTCCTACCCCCACCCCTACTCCTGCTCCTCCTACTCCTACTCCTACTCCTACTCCTACTCCTACTCCTACTCCGACTACTACTACCACCACCACCACCACCACCACCACGACTACGACGACTAAAACCAACTGACGACGATGATGATGGTGATGGTCGCCGTCGTCGTAAACATCTGTCATTGTTGCTTATGTTTGTGGACTTTGGGGTCTTAGAACTTGGGCTTCTGGTTTCGAGGTTGGATGTTTTCAGCTCATACCCAAGGCAACGTCGAGAAGGCGGATGCTGACGCTGCCGTTATTTCACAGGACTGAGCAACATGTCCATGCTCGGCATGGATCTTATGTCAGGACTGCAGTTAACAACGGATAAGCATCAGGACATGAAGAAGCACCCAAAGGCAAATTCCCTTGCCATTTGCTGACTAGGTAAGGCTATTTCCTCAAGGCCTCTGAAAGTGTCGCTGCAGTGACACTGGAAGATTCGGCCTACCCTGCCCTTCCCCGCCCCCCTGCCCCATCCCGCCATCCCCACCAACCCCCTCCCCCATCCCAGCAAGCCCTAGCAGTGTCCTCATGCGTTCCATCACGGACTAGAGCACCAACAGCGGCAGCAACTCAAACCACAGCAACAACAACAGCAGCCACCGCATGCACCAACAACAACCAACCGACCGACCAACCAACCCAACAATATCTCCCGACCAGCCGACCCACCACCCGGAAAGTCACCCCAAGCAAGCGAGCAAGCAACCAACCAGCCGACTAAACCCCACCCCTCCAAAGCCGATGGGGAAATGTCAAGCACCTCGCGGAACCCGAAATCCCAAAATGCACCCAAAAGTCAGCCGCAAACGGTCTCTGAGTTTTTGCTGCAGATGTGGGGAAAGCCGACACGTTGTCCGGAATTTCTCCGATTTTTGCGATCAACAAAACGAAAGCCGCAACCTATACGCCCTATAACCCTCTAAAGCCTAGACCCAGTTCACCCCACTCCCAAAAAAACCTAAGCACCAAAACCCTCCGGCACCCTTAGCAGGACCCTGAAAGGAAACCTTACAGCGCACCCGTGACCCTTGAAGGAGAAATTTTAGAACCTTAAACCCCAATGATCTTCCACGATGGATATTCCCGGAACCCTGAACCCTAAACCCTAAACCCCTAAACCCTAAACCCTAAACCCCTAAACCCTAAACCCCACTGATCTTCCACGATGGATATTCCCGCTGCTTGGGGAGGAGGCCGGCATCAAGGAGAAGCCGCAGGCGGCATCACGGCATGTGGGGTTCCTTTAAGGCGTCCTTAAACACTTAAACTTAGGGGTACTTAGAAATAATTTTTAATCTTTGGCTACTATAAACCCTAAGAAGCAGCTAAAATTAAAAGTTTTGCTAGGGGTCTAAGTTCAGTATAGTTAAGGCGTCCTGAAACACTTAAAGGTTCTGGGACGGTTTAGGGTTTGGGGTTTAGGTTTTGGGGTTTTACGGTTTAGGGTTTAGGGTTTAGGGTCGAGGGCTTAAGGCTTAGGTTCTGGATTTGGGGCCTTAATGATTAACATTCGCTGTAGTAGTACTAGTAGGTTTAGTTCTAAGGCTGTTTTACGAGGGGGTCGTGGAGGGTTGGGTACAGCCTGAGGTTGATTGGAGGTTCAGGGTTTTGGGTTTTGGGTGTTTTGGAGTTTCGGGTGCGGTGCCTTATTAATGCTTGATCGTTTTTGTTCAGGGGCATGGCTTTCGAGAAACGCCGACGCAAACAGACACCAACCAACCCGAGAGATATCTCTACTTGTAGCAGATCTCGTATAAGTACTACATATACCCCCGAAACCCCAACCAATTCAATCATGACGGCCAAAAACCCTAAACCCTACATATCATTAGAGAGTTCTGCCAAGCTCCAGGTCATCAAGTGTGACGTTTCCAGCACCCAAAGCGTCCGAGATGCCGTGCTTTGACGCAAGTTTGGTTGAGGGCTTCGGGCTTATAGAACCTTATTGAAACCTGCATACTGCGCAAGTTTCGGGATACCCTAAACCCGAAACCCTAAACCCTAAACCCTAAACCCTAAACCCTAAACCCTAAACCCTAAACCCTAAACTATATGGAATTGTCTTCCAAAGCCTTATTCCAAGTAGCAAGGCCTCTGAATTCGCAGAGCTTGGGTTGAAGAGGGGCAGAGTCTCCGGGGATTTGCGGCCTAAGGTTTAGGGCTTAGGGTTTAGGGTTTAGGGTTTAGGGTTTAGGGTTTAGGGTTTAGGGTTTTAGGGTTTAGGGTATAGGGTTTAGGGATTAGGGTTTAGAGAGTGCGTGTTTATGGCGTTAAAGGTCAAATTATACTAGGACTTTTGACTAAAAACACGAAGATGCCAAACAACCCTGAACCATGCTGAGCCTTTATGCCTTTTTATAGCGACCCTGAAGAGGCCTTTCATAATATAAGGGCCTACATACTTACCAATATCATTTTGGGGGCTCCTCATTACCATTACCGTATAAGATTACCCCCCAAACCCTATTCTCATTATTCAGGTCCCTACATTAATCGTTCCTGTTTGGAAAGATTTATCAGACCATGAATACCAGTCCTTGTAGCGAGACCCCAGTAAAGACTCTGGGCGGTGCCCACTGAACATGAAGCCCCACATTGACATCGCTCGCGAATCTTCACGCCAAGAGACACCACGAGCCCTTGTTGGAGTGTTTCTTCAAAATCGCGAGACGGTTCCTTACCTTGAGGGTCCAGTTTTAATTACGTACGTGTTATCGTACATTTGTTGGCTTTGGGCGTCCTACACAGTATGTAGTTGCAAATCATACATCCATTTTTCTGCATACGATATGACATTGTATAAGTACACGATCCGGCACTGTTAGCCCATGCGCTCGGTAGGGGACAGGGTAGGATGCAGTGTAGTACAAGACATGGAGTGTTGGACTGAGCACTCTGTCCCGCAAGTGATTCTGAAAAACCGTTCTGCACTCGATCAAGCATGCCATGATTACCGCGATGAGTGTGCCGTCAAGCACCATCCTCGACCGAGAGCATTCGCCGACAAGATCTGCGAGCAGTGGTTGAGCAACCATGACAAGTGGGTGCGGGGCCCGTCCCTCCACGATTTGCTCCTTCGGGCCCGAGGTGGTGCCAGCACTGCATGCTCTAATATGACGGCGCAGACCATACAGCCGTGCTGCCGAGCTTTACAAAATTGGTGAAGCTGGATCTGGGTGGCTAAATGCGGCTACAGGATGCAGCTGCACCAGAAGCTTCCAAACAGCCACGCCACGGTAGTCGGGGTGTTCTGTCCCTGCTTCGCTAGGCTGCATCTCCTAATGAACGCTCGAAGCCTGGCTCTGATGATCCGTAAACCCTAAACCCCTCTAATGTTACAAGGACATATAATAATGTGGCTGAGGCCAGCGCCATCCTTTCTCAGCAACCTGGCTTTCTTGAAAAGGGCATTGGCACTTACTGTTTGTTGGCGTGGTCGGTTGTTTGCCATAGCAGTGTTGTTTAACGACTTTCTATGTCCAAAATACTGTGCACCATGTCTACATTGGGCAGTCAAGCAAGCTTGGTGAAGCAGCGCCTGCAGAACAAAGACACGAGGAACGTCTTCAGACGTTACTCGTACAGTGCTGCGTGCTCTGATAGTTGTACCTGTAGCTATGCCACCTATGCGCTCCAGCCAGCGGCCACGAAGGACACGCAATCCTGTGCGTGTCTTCTAGGGTTAGATTTCATTGTGAGCCCACTGTTACTATTACTATTACTGTTACGACTGCAGCCGCTGCTGCCAACTATGCTACTACTACTACTACTACTACTACTACTACTACTATTACTACTACTACTACTACTACTACTACTACTTCTCCTGGGTACTGCTGCTACTACTACTACTACTACTACTACGATTACTACTACTACTACTACTACTACTACTACTACTACTACTTTCACTACTGCTACGACGACTACCATTACCACTACCACTACCACTAGTATTACTACTACTACTACTACTACTACTACTACTACTACTTCTGCTGCTACTACTATTACTACTACTACTAATCCTGCTGCTA